GGTAATCTGATTTCCAGGATGAATGCAATTATGGCTCTCCCCGCTCCCTGAAAATCCTGCTGCTTCATTTGGATGGGTGGTGACACCGCCCAGGCCCCTCAGCCTCCTCGCTCACTTGGCAGCCAGCTGGGTTGGGTATCTACTTTTGCCATCTCGTTCTTACATTCTTATTATAGCAGGAGAGTAGCCTGAGGGCCAGGAGCCACTGCAACCTAAGAAGCATTCCTATCAGTCTTTTCTGTGCTCTTGCACATGCTCGTGATTGTTTCTAAGCTTATTGCTTTGCATCTTGTCTCTCTGGCCACATCCCTTCTTCATGATCTTTACTCACTTTGAGTTGGGGTTTTGGTTTTTCCTATTGATTTATAAGAGCATCTTATAGACAAAGGATATCACTTTACTGCTGGATGTTGCGAAGACCTGATTGCAATGTGTTGGTTGTCTTTTGGTTGTCTTTATGTCTTTTTCTCCTACTTTCTATTGTGAAAAATTAGAAACACACAGAAGTAGAGAGACTAGTGTGACACAGTCCCATGTGCCCCTCATGAGCTTCTGCTGTGATGAAGTCACGGTCTAGAAGTAAAGTCTTTTATCTGAAACGCTCACATGTACTGCTCTAAATGGTGTCAGTTAAAAAAAAGAAAAAAAAAACAACAACTATAACCACAGTACATGGCACTTTTTTTTTTTGATGTTTCATTCTCACAAATTCGAGCAGGATTATCTTTCCTTGGCGATTTCCGCTGGTGCTTTAAGATTGAGACCAGCCTCCTTCCACCCTTTGCACCGACTACTAGTGATCCTGTGGTCCTGTCTGGCACAGACAGACGGATAAGGACTCCACCCTTTGTGAACCCCATGCCTCAGGCCCCCCGTTCCTTCCCTGTCCCCAGCCTTGGTACAATGCGAGTCCTTATGGCCTGACCAGAAGCTATCCCTGTGGCTGTGGGCAGCATCTGACCACAGTAGGGGTAACAGGGTAAAGATGGGTCCCCACGAGGCCTGGCCAGAGGTGCAGGGAGCAAATCTCCATGCTGGCAAGCGCCAAGGTGGGGACACAATGTCCTTCTGAGCAAAATGGGCTTTGGCATTACCAGACCACGATTCTGCTCTTCTTCTCCTGCTGGCACCACTTCCTCCCCACCCAGATGGGTAAGAGGGCAGGAGTGTGGAAGGAAGTTCGACCGAAGACAGTCCCCTCTCTCCCCTCATGGGAGACAGTGGCAGCGGGAGTGTGCTGACAGATGGCCAGTAAGGGATCAGGACTGGAGCTCAGGCCTCTTGCCTGCCTCCCCCTGCCAGCCTGACCCTTAGGAAATTCCTCTAATTCCTAAACCCAGATTGGACTTGGGCCTCATAATTTGGTTTTCCGGAACAGGATTTGGCTGGACTCCCTGTGAAGAGGAATGTCTGGGTCAGCAGAAAGACATCAAGTGTGCGCTTAGGTTTTGGGGGAAGGATCAGCGTCTTCCCCTAGTTCCTCTGATGGTGGCTTCACTTTTCTGAGGGAGAGTATTGGCCACAGCTGTGCCCCAGAGGACTCAGGGACAGGGCTCCCTCCTCCAAGCGGTGTTTCAGAGTCTCATTCTTGCCCACCTTCCCACCCATTCAGGCACCCAACTGTCCATTCACTCATTCCTCCAGCCATCCTTTTATCCACTCACATACGGCCTATATTCCCACCTATCCACACACCCACCCACCCATCTACCCTCATCCTCTCACACAGCTACTCATCCTGCAGTCCACACATCTATTCACTCGTTCATTCATTTCCCCTTGCATCTATCCTTCTGTCCTTCCATCCCTCCACCCACCCACCAATCCATTTACCTGAGGTCATTGCTGGGGTGCCCAGGCCTGGACAGGCTTTCCCCAGGTTGACCACCTCCACTCCTGGCCTGAGATAGGCAAAACTGTCTTTGGACTGCATGTTTGTTCCTGTCTTCTTGCTAAATCACCTCCGTGGGCTGGTGGTTGTGTGTGGTAAGAAGCAGCCTCCACCAAGAACTTGTGAAGCTGATGGCTGGGGTCCTGGTGGGAGTTGTGAGGGGTCTGCTCTGCAGGCAGTTTAAAACCCTTCCAAGGTAAACGAAGGCTGTAATGGCATCAGCCAAGGAGGAGAGTGAGGGTCAGCTGATGTCCCACAGTGTGGCAATTCCCTGCCTGCCCCACACCCTCCCAGGTCTCAGCAGAAGTGAGTCTGGTGCCCAACTCTACCAAGATCAGGGCCCCACCCCAAGTCCTGGCTGGGAAAGATGTCTTTGAAATCCCATGGTCGATCTTAAAAGTCATGCACATTTTGCCTTTCATGTCATCACATATGTATTGTTTTAATTTAAAAAATAGTGTTTTGAGTTACCATCAGAAAAGTTGCAATCTGGGGTGCTAGTCTGGGTCACCTGAGCCCACATGTGCTCCTGTGCACCTGGGACCTGGGGAAACTCCCAAGTCGGGGAAGTGGGCCCGGATCTTCCCTGCTTCTTGGATGCCCTTGGCCAGCATTCTGCCTCCTGTGCATCCCAGGGATGCCCTTGAGGCCACCAAGGTGTCAAGGCTGCAGCCTGCATGGTTTGGTGCCCTGACCCATGAGCAGACAGAGGGGTGCACCCTCCAGCTGGAGCAGAAGGCATGGGCCTAGCACCCAGGGGCTCTGCTCCCTTTTGAGCACCTTTGGGGTACTCTACCCTCAAACTGGCTGGTGTTAGGGGGTATCGCCTGAGGGACACAGTTCATTTAGCTCCAGCTGAGAGAACTGGGCAATGGAAAGGTCACTGTGGGGTTTGGCCACCACCTCACTATAGCCTCAGAATTCTGGGCCCCTGGCCAGCTCCCAGCCAGAGTGAGCGGCCCCCTTCAGGGGGCTCCTTGGACCCTAGAGCTGGGGCATGCTGGAGGGCCCAGGGAAGCTGAAAGTTAAGGCTGTCCCCTTACCTGCTGTCCCCAGAGTCTGCAGTGCAGGCCTGGTCCTGCTGGGTTGAAGGAGAGGAAGCCTGAGGTCAGTCAGGAATCCACATCTCTGCACAAGGAAGAAGGAAAGTTACATCCTGGCTATGAGGGCAACAGCTTCCCTGTGAGTCTTGATTGTCACCTCCCAGGGCATACCTTCCTCTCACATGTGCAGCCCTGGTCTCAACTGTGCTGTCCAGGGCCATGAGACTACCCTGCTACAATCAAGGCTCACTGAGGGCTGATCTGCTCTACCGCCCACCCTGCCATGTGCTGCCCTCCAGGGAGGAAGGCTCCACCATGCCCACCTAGGGCAGCCAGGTTTAGTCCATCTGTACACAAGGCCTGGTGGCCGCCATGTGTAGGTGTGTCTGGAATCCGTGTACAGACAGCAGTGGCTGTGCACAAGGGCCTGCATGCTCATGGCCATGTACATGCCATGCTATTTGTACCTTATTACCTGCTGATCAGAGGACTTGGTCTGCATCTCACCCACTGATCCCTACCCCCAGTAATGGCCATGGCCTCTCCCAGTAGTTTAGTTCATTCTTCCAGGCATGCTGATCTCACTGCCCCTCTTCTAGGTTATGCTGGCAGTTTTATTTTGTGACAGGAGCTGGGGAAATGAGCAGTTTCTGGGACCTATGCTGGCCTCTTATGCTCTTTGGGCCTCGGTTTCACCAGTTGTCACAGTGTACTCGACTCTGCAGTGTCCTTTTCCCTCAACATGCCCCTCGACAGTGTCCCTGGCTCAGCCAGCACTAGTGTGGTCAAGTCCAGCACTGACCCTTCCTCCTTGGGTCTCTGTCCTTGCTGATGGCTCTGCCCCACAGAGCTGGCCCTTCAAGGGTATTACCCACTGTGCTGTGTCTCTAAGTTTAGGCCCTCAGTCGGTGCAGGGGTGAGGGGGCCAGCAAAGGCAGCCTCAGTAGTGTGATGTGGGTCAGGCCAGAAGGAGACCCTGAGCAGCACTGGGCACTGTGCAATACACTGAGACCCATGCAGCTGGGCCTGAGCTCCACATACTCCTCCTGCTTCTTGCCTAGGAGCCAGGGAGCAAGTGGTAAGGAAAAATGCTGGCTCGTCATTGCAGCTGCCAAGCCCCAACTGCCTCCACCCGCTACCCTGGAGCCTTCAGGAACAGTGCTGGACTGGGGCCCAGGCAGGCCTGACCCTCCCGGCACACCGGGCCTGGGGAGCCTGGGCCCCTGCCCTCAACCTGCCTCTGGATCGGGTGACATGGGCCACTTCCAGGCACAGAATTGCAACCAGGCTGTACTCAGTTTTCACTCTGCCATGTGGATAGACACCACCCCCGTTCCAGCTAGTGTGGCTGTGAGTGGAGGCCAGACCTCGTCTATAGACCCACGTCACCCCTGTGTCTGCCTAGGTATCTCAGGTACCCGGCTGCTATGGACCAGCATCTTATTCCCTGCCCACTGGCCACACCAGCTGTGTGGCTATGGATGGGTCCCCCACTCTCCCTGGGCCCCAGTGTCCACCTCAGTGAGACTATTTTGGTTCCTGTTATGGACTGAGGCACAGGGCAGGGGAGAGGTGGGGTGGAGCTGTCCTAGGAGCTGGGGAGGGCCAAGGAGGAGGTCTCCTATGTGGGGGTCCATCCTGCAGGCATCCTACTGGGTTGGCCCCATGAGATTGGAGTGAACTGGTATGTACTGTGGGCAGCAGAGGGTCTGGAAGGTCTGAGTGCTGGTCATACCAGCTCTTCTGCCCCTTCCCTTCCCAGGGGGCTCTGGGACCCACCTCCCACCCCCCTGCCATGGTCTGTGGTTCTGCTGGGCCTGCCAAGAAGCAGGGGAGCCAGGTCAGAGACCCACGCCCCTCAGGGAGGGAGCCAGCTGCTTCTGGCCAGCCTCAGATTAATGGCTTTTAATTTAGAATGCAATCAATGCAGCTTTTCTCCAGAGAGCTGAATGCTCCAGTCTAAGAGTGAATCGTATGATTTGTGAGTGGGCAGGCAGGGGACCCATGATGGCCTCTCCAAGCCTCTGCCCTGGCCCTACCCTGACTTTGCTCTGCTTTGCCTGCAGCCAGCAGGCGTCCTAGTCATGGAGGACTGCGACATGCACTCAGCTGCCAGCATCCTGGCCTCAGTGAAGGAACAGGAGGCCCGCTTCGAGCGACTGACACGGGCACTGGAGCAGGAGCGGCGCCATGTTGCCCTACAGCTGGAGCGTGCCCAGCAGCCTGGTGTGGGCAGTGGTGGTGTGGGCAGTGGGCAGCCCCTGCCGATGGCCTGGCAACAGCTGGTCTTGCAGGTAATAGCCCAGTGACTCAGGAGGGATAAAACTGCCAAGTGGGAAAACAATTAAGGGGCCCTAGTGGGCCACAAGCCTGCATGCATTGGTTTATTGCAAGACCTCCTAGGGCCTCTGGGGAGGAGGAAAGTGGGATCTCAAAGGGACCAGAAGTCCCAATTGGGTGTGCAAGCCACCATATGACGAACGGGCAGGACATAACTTGACCCTCAAAACATCACTCTCTACTCAAGCCACCAGGGCACAGGCAGGGTCTGTTCTGGGCAGCTTAGTGATCAGCATGGTGACAGAGGGTTTGCCAGCCCTGGAATCTCCCTGCCATGTTGTTCTTCATAGCACACATTAATGGGAAGGCTCAAGCAAGGCCCCAGGCTCTGTCTACAGCTCAGAGGGTAACCTGGGAGCTCAGTTTCCCCACTGGCTATTGCCCTTACACTGGTCTCAGGCCACTGCTCAGCCCCAGAAGGTGTGGAGCCCTGCCTGCTCTATGGCCAGGCCTTGAGAATTCTAACATTGGGGTGCATGCTTCAGAGTCAGACCACCTGGCCTCTTCCCACCATCCACTGTGTCCCAGTGCCTAACCTGTGGACAAGGGACAAAAGCACCTGACTTGGGGCAGTAAGGGCAGGACGAGGAAATGCGGGAAGCCTAGAGTTTGGTGAGATTATTTTGGTTCCTGTTATGGACTGAGGCACAGGGCAGGGGAGAGGTGGGGTGGAGCTGTCCTAGGAGCTGGGGAGGGCCAGGGAGGAGGTCTCCTATGTGGGGGTCCATCCTGCAGGCATCCCACTGTGGTCCTTCCTCACCAACAACTCAGATGCCTGGGAGCAGAGGCCTGCTGAATCTCCTAGACTCCTCACAATGATCCAAGAGGGCCCCCCTCCCAGTGAGTTCCTCAGATTTCTGGATCCGCTCCCTAGGCAGAACATCAGCGTTGCTCTTCTAAACTGGGCAGCCAGAGCCCTTCTGCTTTGTCCACCAGGACATGCACACCCTTCCTTTTCTGGTCCTGCTGAGCCCTCCAAAGGTGAGGCCTGTACCTCCAAACTTGAGGGGGAACAGAACAGCTTGGCTGGGCCACATGGAGACAGTGGCAGTCAGTGACCCTGAGGCTACCCCTCAGGCACCAGGCACTCTTATCTAGCCCTCCCAGGCCAGAAGAGGCTCGGGGCTCTAGCCCAGAGGGCACTAGCAAGGGTCAATGCCCCCGAAGGAAGAAGTTTGCATGGCCTGGAGCTGTCTTGGCCTCCTGGGGGCTGTGGAGGGAAAACCTCAGGCCACCACCCCTCTCCACTCAAGGCCTTCCCAGCCTGTCTTCAGTTTTCTGTCTCTTGGGAGGAGATGGTTTTCTCAGGCTGAGA